GAGTCCCTCTGTACCTTTAAGAAAAAGCTAAAGACCCAGCTCTTTCATGAATACCTACTAACTTAATGATGATGGTCTCCATATTATTGATGATGATGATGGTAATGACGATGGTTTTTGTTTGATAACGACGACTTATAAGATGGTTTCTATACTGATTAGAGCTCTCAAGAACTGCCCTCAATGTTGTGCTTTGCCTCTGGTCACTTCCTGTCAGCACCTGTGTGTCCAATCAGACTCAAAGCTGATTGTTTGCTCTTACTCACATTGTTCCCTTTTTTCTAGATCCTTGCTTGTGTTGTTCTTACTCTCTGATGTACGTCGCTTTGGAGAAAAGAGTCTGATAAGTGAATTGTAGAATTGTAGATATCAAAATAAACTAGGGCTGTTGAACCATGATCATTTTAATCTAGATGAATCTCTAAATGTCTGCAACACGTCTCAGCTCCTCCTGTGGGGATTCTGAGGCGTTCCCAGAACCAGACAGACATATAATCCCTCCAGTGAGCTCTGGGGTCTACCCCGGGGTCTCCTCCCAGACGGACGTACCAGAAGGCCAGCTGAGGGAGCTCGTCCAGGAGGATCCTACTCAGAACCCTGCACCACCTCAACTGGCTCCTTTAGATGTGAAACCCTCCAGAGGAAACCCATCTCAGCTGTGTGTATCTGTGATCTCATTCTTTCAGTCTCTACACAAAGCTCATGACCACCAGGTGAGGGTAGGAGTGAAGACGAACCGCTCGCAATACTGCTGACGCTGCTTCAATCCACCTGTCAATCTCCTGATCCAATTTTACCCTCACTCATGACCAAGACCCCCGACATACATGAACTCCTCCGCCTGTGGCAGAGACTCACTCCTTACCCGGAAACTTTCAAAGATGCACGGTTAACTAGTTCATGCTGACATCACTAATATAAACCGATCCTGTCACAGGCGTACCTGGCGATGTCATAGACACGATCTGCCACCCTGCTGCCGACCTGCAAACCAACACAGAGACAAACAAACAGAGTTTAATGTAACACACCGTTAAAGAGACTTCTGATATATTGAAAGTACGTGAACACATTGGAGTCAGAACCCGGAAACTGGGAACCATCCGAGGTGCACCTGAACGCAGCATCATAATCAGAGTTGTCACTGGTTGTAACCAGACTGTTACACTCCATATGAGACAAGAAAAGATATTGATACCTGTTATATCACGTCAATAACAACACATTAGTCAAAGACACCCAATAATGACTAACTTCTTTTTTTTGTTTTTTAAACATTGCAAGCAAACTCCTGCACACTTTTAAAACTGCACATGAACATTGGCAATGTTTTTGTGCAGTTTCTGACTGAAGATTATGAAACTAGGGGAGGCTGTATGGTTTATCACGCACAGTATTTTAATAACACGTCTCAGCTGCAGGTCGTACCTCGTCCCTCAGGTAGTCGTAGTGATGTCCGTCCTGAAGAGAAGCTGCCCAGTTCTTCTGCCTCTTCTTCATCTCCCTGTTGAACACATTCATGGCTCCCCGGCCTGACATGAACCTGAACCCGGCATACTGAAGTCTGCAGCAGGACGGCCTGATCCGGCTCCAGCTGCCCGGGGAGGCGGAGTGCAGTCTCCACAGGACCGTCCGGCTCACCCCGCTGCTCATGCTGGTGTGAACACAAACTGATCCCTTTGAATTAAAGCAGAGAAAGTGTCAACACCAGAGCAGTTCACTTCCTCCGAGCTCACTTCTTCTTCCTGTCCTCCACACGGATGACCTCTCTGAAGAGCAGGAGGGGAAATGTGGAACTGGAGTTTTTAAAAGGCTGATAGGAAGATATGGAACTGGATCACAATCTGGCTTCAAACTACAAATTTAAAAACTAAACAATATAAAACATTTATGTTAAGAGAACACCACAACCTCACACAAATACTGGTTATTTGAACAATCATAAAATACAGAAAAAAACAAGGCTTACCTAATGTTTCCAGAGACCGAAGGGATTTAATTACATAACCTAACATTTTTTAGTAGAATAAAATGATATGATGCAGAGGAAAAACACAAATCCATCACTTTGAAAAATGAAAGAACTACAGGATACTGTATGTAAAATGTACGGTGGCCCTGAAGTGCAAAAATCACAACGAAACACAACGCGCATTTTACCATTGTGTTTTTAGATTTGCCGTCGTGTTTTCCACACAGACTGTAAATATGAATGTCTGAAGAGGGGGGCGCTGGAGTCCCATCGATTGGCGGTCTCCATGCTGAAAACGATGTCTCAACTTCACGTTCAGACGACATAACGACAGGCGGGTTTTAAACCTCCTGACGAACCGTCACACCGCGCCCACCTGTCAATCAGGTCAGCTACACACCTTATTGTGAATAACTCTTATCCTTCATCAAATCAAAACTGATGAGTCATCAAAACATTCACCCCCCGTACAGTGTGTGTCCATCCACACATGAGCTAATCAATGGCGCTGACGGACGCACATAATAAGCTGGAGCTGAGGCAAACTGCTTTTTTTTTTGCACATCCACATAGGTTTTATTTTTCAACAGGAGGTTGCCGCTTGATTTTCTGTTGTGTTTTGTGATTTCTCATCATGTTTTGCACTTCAAGGCCACCGTAGAATGTCTTAAATTAATCTACAAAACCACTTTGCTTTTATCCATTAATAAGCCACATGTGTAGAGACGTGTAATGTAATGTTATTAATGGATAACCTTTTTATAAAGTGTACGCGTCCTTTACTAGAAAATGTTTAGTGAAGTACTACGCGTTTTCAGTTATTTGTCCCACTTCACTCGCCTTACAAACAAAGGGGCGGGAGGAGCGAGAGGTCACGGAACAGATGCATGCTGGGAACACACGTGTAGCAGAGACCAGAGAGGCACTACTGAGGTACAGGTGAAGTTTTCCTGATGCTTCTTTACTCTGAATGTCTTTTCATGGTGTTTTATCACACGTGTTGTGCGGAGGAATGTCAGTGACTGTGTGTCGGGTTAGCTAGTGTCTCCTGCTCAGCCGGTGCGGACAGTTTGAACGTGTTGTTTACATGTTAGCACTGAAGCTAAGTGTCTGACACTGTCTAAGTCATGCTGAGCCCTGGATTTAAAAACAGCGGGAGGTTGTTTTCTCAGGAAAAGGCTGCTCTGTCAGCCGTGTCATTTCCCAATATTTGTAATTTAATCATTTATCTCCATACTCTGAATCAAACACCAGACTCTAACTTCACTGGTTTCATGGCTAAATTCATTTATTTTAACATACAGGTAAATAAATGTTCAAACCACGGAGTAGCTGCTCTGCGGTAACCATGGACACCAACGAGTAGCTGCTCTGCGGTAACCATGGACACCACGGAGTAGCTGCTCTGCGGTAACCATGGACACCACGGAGTAGCTGCTCTGCGGTAACCATGGACACCACGGAGTAGCTGCTCTGCGGTAACCATGGACACCACGGAGTAGCTGCTCTGCGGTAACCATGGACACCAACGAGTAGCTGCTCTGCGGTAACCATGGACACCAACGAGTATCTGCTCTGCGGTAACCATGGACACCAACGAGTAGCTGCTCTGCGGTAACCATGGACACCAACGAGTAGCTACTCTGCGGTAACCATGGACACCAACGAGTATCTGCTCTGCGGTAACCATGGACACCAATGAGCATCTGCTCTGCGGTAACCATGGTAACCAACGAGTAGCTGCTCTGCGGTAACCATGGACACCACGGAGTAGCTGCTCTGCGGTAACCATGGACACCAACGAGCATCTGCTCTGCGGTAACCATGGACACCAATGAGTATCTGCTCTGCGGTAACCATGGACACCAACGAGTATCTGCTCTGCGGTAACCATGGACACCACGGAGTAGCTGCTCTGCGGTAACCATGGACACCAACGAGTATCTGCTCTGCGGTAACCATGGACACCAACGAGTATCTGCTCTGCGGTAACCATGGACACCAACGAGTATCTGCTCTGCGGTAACCATGGACACCACGGAGGAGCTGCTCTGCGGTAACCATGGACACCAACGAGTATCTGCTCTGCGGTAACCATGGACACCACGGAGTAGCTGCTCTGCGGTAACCATGGACACCACGGAATAGCTGCTCTGCGGTAACCATGGACACCAACGAGTATCTGCTCTGCGGTAACCATGGACACCACGGAGGAGCTGCTCTGCGGTAACCATGGACACCAACGAGTATCTGCTCTGCGGTAACCATGGACACCACGGAGTAGCTGCTCTGCGGTAACCATGGACACCACGGAATAGCTGCTCTGCGGTAACCATGGACACCAACGAGTATCTGCTCTGCGGTAACCATGGACACCAACGAGTAGCTGCTCTGCGGTAACCATGGACACCAACGAGTATCTGCTCTGCGGTAACCATGGACACCACGGAGTAGCTGCTCTGCGGTAACCATGGACACCTACGAGTAGCTGCTCTGCGGTAACCATGGTAACCAACGAGTAGCTGCTCTGCGGTAACCATGGACACCACGGAGTAGCTGCTCTGCGGTAACCATGGACACCACGGAGTAGCTGCTCTGCGGTAACCATGGACACCGAGTAGCTGCTCTGCGGTAACCATGGACACCGAGTAGCTGCTCTGCGGTAACCATGGTAACCAACGAGTAGCTGCTCTGCGGTAACCATGGACACCAACGAGTAGCTGCTCTGCGGTAACCATGGACACCACGGAGGAGCTGCTCTGCGGTAACCATGGACACCACCGGTCGAATAGAATGTTCGGGTTGCTTAGCAACAGTCTTATCTTCAGTTAGATCGTGGCACCAGTTGAGTTGGTGGAGTTAAAATATCATCTTATTCCTTAACTGTTGTTTAAAAGTAATATCACACTCCAGGCTGAGATGTTGTTCTGGATATCAACACTGCTAGGATTATCTTCAGACCGAATCACAGACCAAACAGGCTCTAAATTTCCGTCTCTCTCTCTGTCCGTGGGCAAGACTGATTGCTCCCGCTGCTTCGTCGGCATATGAATTGCTGTTGTTTGTGTTGCTAAATGTTTGAATATGTCTTGTTTTTATTCCTCAGGTGACACTTTGAGTTTGACATCATGTCGTCAAAAAAGAGCCAGGGCGCTGATGAGCGTTTCCTCCGCGTGCAGAAGGATCCCAGGTTTTGGGAAATGCCAGAGAGAGAGCGCAAGATCAAGATCGACAAACGTTTCCAGTCCATGTTTCACGACAAACGCTTCAAGGTGAAGTACACGGTGGACAAGAGAGGACGTCCCATCAACCACACCTCCACGGAGGACCTGAAGCGCTTCTACAAAGTGTCCGACTCAGAGGAGGACGAGGAGGATATAAAGAGTAAGAAGGCAGCGGAGGGGAAGAAGAAGAAGAAAGTGAAGGAGAAGCTGGTGAAAGCTGACAGAGAGGTGATGAAAAAAGAAGAGTATACGGAGCGAGGAGTCCGAGTCGTTGAAGAGGGTGAGTCCTCGTGTTCACTGAGATGTGAACACAAACACCCGGCTCTTTGAACTTGATTATAAAGAGGGTCTTGTTGCATGTTTTACTTTCATGCACCAACTGTGAATCAAACACACCTCACTTTATTGCGTCTAAAAACAATACTGTAAAATCTGGATCATAACACCTTTGATCTTAAAAGAAGGCTGCGTCCTTTATACCGGTATAAAATGCAGACAAACGTTGAGATGGCTTCAGACAAAATCAATTAGGTAAGCCATTGCTGAGCGGGTTTAACACGCTATCAAATAAAAACAAAAGGCAGCCGCGGATCCAAAGTCAACTTATAAGCTACATTTATTAATAGAAAACGTTTCAGCAGAAACTAAACTTCACAAAATAAAATAAACAAATCAGATCGCTATATCACGTATATCCTAAGCGGCACTTTGCAGTCAAAAAACTGTTCCGCTTCCCCCCTCTCACTCTCCCCCAGGTGTCCTCAATCAACTTAAATTCCACTGCCGATACGCCGCGGCTCCGCCCCATAGAGGGAGAAATAATGCACAGATATCCCCAAATCAATTAACAAAAGCTAAAACCAGAATAAACAATAATGTAATTCTAAATTCATTCATGTTTGTCTCTTTTCTATTTTTTTAACTGTAAATAATTAATATATCCATTTGGCCACAACAAACGTGCTTTGATCACCGATTCACCTCCATTCATTGTGTATAACGAGCTTTGCTGTATATCAATGTGACAATGACCATGCTGGCGGCGCCACTTTTTACCATATTTTCTCCCTCTTGAGGTCACAATGGTGCATTCACAGAAAACGGTGGGAGCACAACTCGCGGTCTGCCCACCTTCGCTGAATAGTACCAAATACTTTTGGGTCATAAAATGAGTCTTGGCTCAGTTGGAAGAGTCGGTCGTCTCTCAACCGGAAGGTCGAGGGTTCGATCCCCAGCTCCTGCAGCCACATGTCCGATATGTCCTTGGGGAAGACATTTAACCCAGAGTTGCTCCCACTGCTTCCTCGGCAGTGTATGAATGTGTATAAATGGGAATAGTTCTGATGGACTCTTTACCACTTTTTATTATTTTCTTCAGATGATGAAGATGAAGAGGAGAAATCTGCAGAGAAGGAGGACGTCGACTTGGGAGACAGAGTCGCCGACAGCAGTGAGGAGGAGGAGGATGATGATGAGGATGTTGCAGAAGACGGGAGCGATGAGGCGAGCGACTCAGACTCGGAGGCGGAGTCCGGGCTGGACTCGGAGGAGGACAGTGACAGCGGGCCGGATTTGGCCAGAGGGAAGGGAAACGTCGAGACGAGCTCAGACGAGGACGATGAAGACGAGGTGGAGGCCCTCCTGAAGAAGGAGGAAGAGGAGATCGAACACAACTGGGGCGAGCTGTGTAAGGACGCTCCGCGGAGTGATGAGGTGAGGAAGAGCGTGGAAAAGTGTCAACTCGTTTAACACTTCAGACACAAGACAAGGATGTTTAGTTAGATGATTGTGTTTAAGGGTTTCACAATAGGGACCTGGGACCAGGTCAGAGTACGCTTGACCCCAAAGTCTTATGTATGTGTGTGTGTTCAGGTTTCCGCCCGGCTGGCCGTCTGTAACATGGACTGGGACCGGATGAAAGCCAAAGACCTGCTCGCTCTGTTCAACTCCTTCCTCCCTAAAGGAGGAGCTGTGCTGTCGGTCAAGGTAAAAACTTCTCTGAACACACAAAGACGACGACTCACAGCCAGAAGAAATTTAGGATTACCACGCAAACTTTTTCTGCCCACATTTTCAGATTCTTTAAAACTTTCTCAAAGTTTGCACGGATTAAAAAAAAACATATCCTCCAGAAGCTCCAGCAAACACCTCTCCAGATCCAGGGCCTGTTTTTAGCCTGAGAGGCAAAACTCAGGGTGGAAAATGTTCCATTTCCTAAAGTTTAGAAACGGTTAAAGTTCTTACTTTAATTAAAAAACCTCTTCACATGCTCTGTTAATTTAAAAAGTAACTTAAGCTGTCAGAGAGATCGACAACGTTTCTCCTAAAATCTTTGAAATCTGTGCAGGTTTAAACGAAGCAGAAAGGGTTAACTTTTCTGATTTATATTTATTTTACAATGTGAACTAAAGAGTGGAGAAGAACATGCTGGAGAACAGGAAACATGCAGCAGCAGGTTCATTAGAGTACAGAGATGGTAGAGGTGGCGTGCAGACAGTCTATGGTCGTGCAGCGATCACAGGGAATAAAGGTCACCACCCCCTCCCACTGGCCCCTCCCACTGGCTCCAGGTGAATTCTCCTGATTATATCCTGCTGCGTTCTCACATCAGATCACTCTGACTTTCTGCAGAATAAATACGAGGAGGAAATATCAGGAGTTTTGCACCAATATATGTTTGAAGTATTATTTAGATTTAACCACTTGTGGAAGGGAGATTGTTGTGTGTAAGAGAGATAAACCGCATTGCATGCTGGGTATTGTTCACTCTCCAGGTATACCCGTCAGAGTTTGGAAAGGAGCGTGTGAAGTCAGAGGAGACCCAGGGACCGCTGGAGCTGAGAGCTCTGCCCGACGACTCGGACAACGACACCGAGGAGGAGAAGTAAATAAAGACAAAGTTTAAAAAGTCACACAGACGGAGTCTTCAAAAAACTGTGTGTGTGTTTATTGTGCGTGTGTGTGTGTGTTTCTCCTCTCAGGGTTTACAGGGAGAAGATGCGGGATTACCAGTTCAAGCGTCTGAAGTATTACTACGCCGTGGTGGAGTGTGACTCTGTTGACACGGCGGCTAAGATCTACGAAGAGTGTGACGGCTACGAGTACGAGAGCAGCTGCTCAGTCCTTGACCTGCGGTGAGAGGAGGAGACAGGAGTAGGGTCGTCACGATACCAGAACTTCAAACTCGATACGATTCTAGTAAAAATGACATATTATCAGTACATGTTTCGATACCATGACAACAAACATAAAAGTCCTCTGAATCATTTCACAGTGTGCAAGTTAAGACCGTGTGCAGGAGGTAACCTGTAGTTTATGGTGGATTAATTCCTGTCCTGCACACCTGTCTTCTAAAAAAGATGATGTTTTTAGAAAAGAGAATTTATCGTTTTAAAGGAGCAGTATGTAACTCTGACACCTAGTGCTTAAAATGGGTACTGCAGTCTAAATTTTAAACATTGTAGAGAGCTGTCCCCCCCTCCTCTGTAGAGTGGATGCTCACTCAGGTCACCATGTGGTGGACTCTGAAGCTTCAGTGTTTATCCAGCTCTGCATGGGTCTGTAAACCTTTCTGTGTTCTAACCTCTCTCCATTTTTCAAAAGCATCTCCAATATTGATCCTAGTTTGAGCACGTTTCTGCTCGTGGAGCTTATTAGAAACATGCAGAGGCTTTTTAGGTCGGGTACAATCACTTCTATCTGAACCACTTCTCTTGTCCGCTTCCATCGCTGCAACACCTGTTGACCTGATAACTGCTCTCATATCTGACAAACTGAGGGGCGTCCAAAACGGCCGTGTGGGGGGGTCTTAAAGCGCCTACCTTCTCTGGTCCAGACAAATCCAGAGCATTCAGGAGCAGAATCTAAAGTTAGAAGGAGGACATACTGGCTGCTGCATTGTTGTCAGAGAAGCCAGCACTTCAACATGTTTCCTTAATGATCAGATAGTAAGCTCACTTTGTCATTTCGCACATCTCACTGATCTTACTGATGTGGTACCAAAATATCTAAAATCTTAACAATCTTAGACACAAGAGGAGCGTCATCAAATATCAAACAGTTAAAGTAATCAGGAAGAGAAAGGGTTTTTAAACGGTATGATTGAATCTCAAACCTTTCTTGAACAGGTTTATTCCTGATGACGTCCAGTTCGACGAGGAGCCCAAAGACGTGGCGACGGACGTGAATCTGTCGGCTTACACGCCAAAAGTGTTTACCTCATCAGCCACCACGACGTCAAAGGTGAGACAACGGGCTGCGAATAACGGTTTATTTTCATCAGCTCAAATAAAAGACGGACAGAGCTTCAAAACAAAACCCGCTCACTGACAAATGCATGACGTTCACGCTGATGTTTCCGTGTTTAACCCATCAGGTTCAGCTGACGTGGGATGAGACGGACCACGATCGAGTGACCGCCATGAACAGAAAGTTCAACAAAGAGGAGCTGCTGGACATGGATTTCAACGCCTACCTGGCCTCCTCCAGCGACGAAGAATCTGAAGAGGAGAGAGAGGAAGGAGGGTTTGTGTTTGGAGAGCAGGAGAACGAAGAAGACAACGAGGACGACAACGCGACAGACGGTGAGACGGTTAAAGACGCTTTACCGCGGCTTTATTGTGAGATGAACTTTGAGCTTTTTCTGACGTTTTGTTCGTTTTGTAGCCAAACAGACTGAAGAGCCGGTCTTGAAGGTGGAGAAGAAAAAGAAGAAGAAGAAGAGCGGCGAGGAGCAGATCTCTAAGTACCGAGAGCTGCTCAAAGGAATCCAGGACAAAGAGAAGAAGCTGCAGGAGGACAAAGACATGGAGATGGAGATCACCTGGGTGCCAGGTATGAGGGTACCTTTAATGTCAGCAGGCAGGATGGATCAAACACTCATTAACATTAAAAGAGTAGTACACTTTGAATATCTAAACCTTGCATAAAGACTAGGGCTGTCGAATTATAAAAAAAAATTCAAATCGCATGTTTGAAATTCCATTATTTCCTTAACGAGTGAGTTAATGCGTTTTGCTGTCTGCGTGTGCAGGTCTGAGGGAGACGACGGAGCAGCTGGTGAAGAAGAAGATGGAGGGGAAGGACAACCTGACGCCGTGGGAGGAGTTTTTAGAGAAGAAGAAAGACAAGAAGAAGCAGAAGAAAAGTCAGAGGAAACAGGTGAGAGAGGACGACAGGTGATCACACCGAGTAGTGTGATGGTGTTGAAAAGTAAAGCCGACGCTGTTCCTCGAGTGTCCACTAGAGGCTGGCTGCAGAAGCACAGGAAGTCACATACACACCCATTCTAAAAAGCCTGTTTTTACAGCAGAGATGAACATGTTTACAGCCTGGTTCAAATGAATTGATGAAGGATAAGAGTTATTCACAATAAGGCGTGTAGCTGACCTGATTGACAGGTGGGCGCGGTGTAACGGTTTGTCAGGAGGTTTAAAACTCAGGCTTCATCCATTAATATTCACAGTCTATGGATCACACATGTAAACAACAAACCTGTAATGATGTATGTCACAAAGTTATTAATGATTCAGATTTTTACTTTTTGTCTCAGGGAGAGAGTGACGATGAGCTCAGTGAGGACGAGCTTCCTCCAGACGTCGATCTCAGCGACCCCTTCTTCGCAGAGGAGCTCGCTGCTTCAGGTAATCAGTACTTTCAATTAATCAGTTTATCAATACGTTAGTATGAAGGGTTTGTTTTCTTGATTTATTTGGACCATCATAAAACACAGGCACAAAGGAGGAAGAATAGTTAAAGCAAATGATCTATTATTTATGAAGGATTAGTGAAGCGTCCCGAGTAGGGCAATGGATTCTTCTTTAGTCTGATGGTTTATGAACTTTTATTCACTTTATACCATGGCAATAGTTTCCACAAACACACCGTAAGATATTTATAAAGAAAACAAAGAAAAATACAAATACCGTAAAATCCAGAATATAAGACGCAGTCCGATGTTGAAGGAGAGAAGAAAAGGTTCAAACTGTCGTCCTGCGTGACGATTTCTGTTGTTCAGCGTAGTGTACAGCTACAAATGCGTCTTACACCTGGATTTTACGATAACCATCAAAAGTAAAACCACATATTCAAGCAGAGATAGTGAAACATTTTCAACATAAAAACATGACAACAGATGAAGGTTTATTGTATGGGTCATTAAAGTATTGAAAACATTTGATACATTTACCCGGTAAAAAACAGTAAAATAAAAGGTGCTGGGCAGTTTACCGATGATATGAATTTTAATTTCATATATCACAATACAGACAAATAATGGCTGAAAAAATGGTTGTTTACTCTCTTGAGAGAAGAGAAGAGTAAACCCTTTTCACTTCGGCACCGCTGAAAGGCATGATCGGATACATCGCCACAACTACGATCTGTGCTAGCAGTAGCATTTAGCTTTCAAGTGGAGAAGACGGATGGACATGTTGGAGATCGAAGAAACGGAAATGAAGGCACACAAGAAGAACTTGTGCTGAAGAGAAGAGCTGTGTCTATTCTGTGGAGGCTTTTCAGATTTAAAATAAAATCAGACGTGGACCAAACGACCATTTATTGCAAAAGTTCTCGAGCTACAGTTGTTCCTGGAGGAGGCAACACCAGCAATTTGCTCCCACCACGTCAGCAGAAAGGAAGTCTTGGAATACCAAGAATGTCTGAGCAAGTGTTGGCTCGAAGGACTGCCTATGAGAAGCTAAGCCAACATTGGAACAAGGTCACATATGCAATAACCTTCTATCTGGCCAAAGACATGGTCCTGCTACATACAGCCAAAAGAGACGGCTTTAAGGGGATAATCAAAACCGTGGATGCCAGGTATGTGTTAACTTAGCTTAATACAGATCCCCACATCGTAATAAGCTAGAAGCAGAGCTGGGAACAATTGCCCACTACTCAAAAACAACAGACATGTGGTCTAGTCTCAGTAAGGCGTTATACCATACCATATAGGGGCGGCTGTGACTCAGTTGGTAGAGTTGGTCATCTGTCAACCGGAAGGTCGGGGGTTTGACGTCTGATGTGTCCTTGGGTAAGACATTTAACCCCGAGTTACTCCCGCTGCTTCGTCGGTGGCGTATGAATGGGATTAGTAACTTCTGATGGTCTCTTCACTCAGCAGCCTCTACCATCAGGGTGTGAATGTGTATGTGGGACCTGCGGTGTAAAAGCGCTTTGAGTAGTCAGAAGACTAAAAAGCACTAAACAAGCTCAAGTCCATTTACCATACCTAAGCATGGCTGTAATTCTTCTCTCAATCCTGAAAATATTGTGAAACACTTCCTCTACCTTTGCCCAATCGCGCGAAAAGAGTTGGGAAAATTTTTTTTTTCATACCCAGCACTAATAATAAAAAAAAAGATCTGTTCACCCATTTACTTATTACACCAAAAAATACAATCCATAACCTGAAAACCTTTAATACTATGACCTTTATTACGTCAGAAACAGATACAAAATTCAACGACCAAATGGCTAACAGCTAGTGGCTAAAATAGCATGGCTAAGCTTAATGCTAGCATTTATTCTAGCACAGCTACGTTGTTAGCAGGATTGCTGTACCCACACTTCACAATCAAATCGACAAAATACACTGTACGCCTACCAGCTGGTTGATAAGATGTGAGAGGATGACGACAAGTTTCCATCAATAACGCACTGATAGCCTACCTACCGGCGCTATCCAGTCTTAAGCAGGTAAGAAGCAAACCAGCCTTCAAAATAAAAGGCCCCCAAATCATTAAGAAACAGATAAATGGTAGGAAGGACCAAAACTCACTACGGCAATCAATAATTGTAATAATCTTCATGGGTCCTTTCTGATTAAAAAAAAGTTGTGTATATTTACAGAAGAAGATTAAGAATCAATCCCAGGTGTTTAATACCTCAAGAACAGCAGATTCTGTTCAAGAAAGATGTAAAATATAGTGTTGACAAAGACTATGTAGCCTTGTTCTTTTGAAGTCAAATCAATATAGAAAGTAAGTGATTATTTCACACTGACAGGAGAGATGACCAGAGGTGCAGAGTTTTTGCCTCCTTTATTAAGATAGGGACTGAAGTAAGGGAAGAGTTTCTCAGTGAAGGAGCAGTCTGTAAAGGAGTAGATCAGAGCTGCAGAGTCCACATCATAAAAGGAGACCAGACCCTCCTCATAATCCACAAACACCCCCACCTTCTCAGGACGACACTTCAGAGAGAGACGGACTGGAGGGTCATCAAGGGCTGTGTACTTATTTCCATTTCTCAAACATATAGACCACAAACTCTCCTCAGGACTCAGTGTGATTAATCCCTTCCTGTTGATGGACTCTCTGACCACTCCTAAAAACCAACAAGTCTTTCCTTTAACCTGAACCTCGAAGTAAAATCTGCCTGAAGAGAAACTCTGCTTTCCTAAAACACAAACACAAAGAGAGAATCTCTCTGGGTTGTCTGGAAGATTCTTCGTCACGTCACCATGATGAACTTGTTTCCCATCTTCAGACAGGATGAGATTAGGATGTGCTGTATCAGGATCAAGAGTTACATCCACAGCATACTGCTGGACTCTCTTCAGCTCAGCTTGAACCAACTTCTTCATCTCTTCACTGAGAGTCTCCTCCAGCTGAGCCACAGCGTTCCTCACAGTCTCCTCATAAAGTGGTTGACAGACATTAACCTCTGTCCAGTCTTTGGTGGGTGGAGCAGAGTTAACAGACTGGACTCTCTGGATTAGATGGAAGTGGTCTTCAGAGCGTGAGAGCTGCTGCACATCAGTGCTCCTCTTCATCAGCTCACAGATTTCCTGCTCCAGCTCTTTGATGAAAGCTTCGGCCTGTTTCTTTGTTGTTTTCAGCTTCTTGTCGATCGTGTTGATGAACTCGGCCCGGCCTCTCTCAACAGACTCCTTCAGAGCGGTGAAGACTCGAACACCTTCTGCCATCTCTCTGTCTGCATCGTCCTTACTGAGGTCCACTGAGTGTTTGATCTCCTGAATCTTCAGTCGAGTTTTCTGGATCATCTGCTGAATTTCAGCCTCTGTCTCCTCCAGCTTTGCCTTCTTTTCTTCATATTCTTCTTTCAGAGGAACAAACTTGTGTGTCTTGTGGTCTAAAACAGAGCAGAGCATGCAGACACAGGTCTGATCGGTCTTACAGAACAGCTCCAGAGGTTTATCGTGCTTCGTACACATCCTGTCCTCCAGGTTCTCCACAGGGTCGATCAGCTGGTGTCTTTTCAGACGTGAAGCTGTCAGATGAGGCTCCAGGTGAGTCTCACAGTAGGAGACCAGACAGTCTAAGCAGGACTTCAGGGCCTTCAGTTTGGGTCCAGTGCAGGCTTCACATAGAACTTCTACTGGTTTGGACTCTTGTAGCTCTGAGCTGCTGCTGCTGCTGGCTTCCTGCTGAGCTTTGTCTCTGAACTGACCAACCATCTCAGAGATGAAAGTGTTGACCCTCAGTTTAGGTCTATTGGTAAAAGCTTCCTTACACATTGGACACCTGTACTGGTCGCTGGTGTTCCAGTGTTCAGTGATGCAATTTTTGCAGAAGTTGTGTCCACATGGTATGGTGACAGGATCATTGAACACATCCAGACAGATGGAGCAGAGAAACTGATCCTCAGACCAATGATAGTTTGCAGCAGCCATATCTACACAGAGTGAAAGAAAGAATAAGATTTAATTAATTTACATGATTTATTGTTTGGAAACTGGAAAGAAGGGATGAAGGATTGACTGATCAAAGTTTGTTACAGATGTTCAGTTAATGATGCGAGTACATCCTTCTGTGGAGCCCTGTGTTGGTAAGAATGAAAAAC